ACGAGGGAAGGGGCACAGAGCTTCCGGGCCCTCTCTAGGGGCGCCACTCTCCCAGCACCTCCAAATGTTCACCAAACCAGAAGCCCCCCAAGCCCAGTCCTTTTGGGATTTGATGAGGCTTCATTACAAAGGCATGATTGATGAAGGCATGGGCTGTTGGTGATTGAACTCAATCTCCAGCCCCTCCTCTCTGGAGGTGGGGAAGGGGATGCTGAGAGTTCCAAGTCTCTGATCACCTGGTTGGGTCCCCTGGCAACCAGCTCCCATCCTTAGGGGTTTTCCAAAAGTCACTCAATGCTATAAACTCAGATGTGTTGGAAAAGGGGTTTGTTCTCCTCTCATTACCTAAAAAATTCTAAGGGTTTTAGGAAGACCAAATGAATATCTCTTATGGTAAATCAAAACGTGGCAAAAAACCAACAGGCTCCTCACCACAAATAGCCTGAGACACCCCGGCCAGGTAAGTTCTCCCTGCCCCCTCCTAGCCGGATCTGGGCGTCAGCACGCGAGGCAGTGCCTGCTTGCTCTCTCTCCGCGTCTTTCAGTTCAATTGCTTAGCCTTCTGTCTTCCTATCTTGACCATGGATTCTTGGAAGTCTAGGGCATCTTTCGTTATTCCCAGCATACGAACCATTGTAGACACTCCACAAATGTTGGTTGAGTGAATATACAAATGAATAAATAAGTAAATAAAACGCTTTTTTCCCCTATGGGCAAACTGAGAAAACAGCCCTCCGATGTGGAGTTGAGGGGTGTGAATAGAGCTTGGTTTACGCACACGGAGATGCCCTGGTAGAGTCTCTTCAGTGTCTGTAGAAATGTTATGTTACCCAAAAAGGGAGGGGAGGGGGAAGCCTATGCTCAAATAGGATTGGAAATTTTGAGTTCAAAACTAAGTGTAAAAAAATTATTTTCATTGCAGGACTTGTTAGCGCCTGTACTTAGAGCGTTATGAATGGATATATGCTTGCAGCGGTTTGCTGTTCCGGAAAAACATTTCTCTAGGACAACTAGGCTGTTGGGCCACACTTTAGGAAATGCTTATCTTATCTCTAGATTTGAATTTGAAAGAAGATGAAACCCTCCTTTGAATTCATTCCAGGTCAACAAACATTTACTGAGGACCTACCCTGTGCCCTCGGGGACAGGTGGTGCACTGCACCAGGGCCACGGAGCAGCCAGGGAGCAGCATCCACTTAGCCTCCAACAAATAGCATCCCCGGCAGTTGGGCAACACGGTGGCTCACCCCATTTCACACACCTGTCCGGCCTTGCGCTCCACCTTAACTCATCCCCTACCACTCCGGTACCACCACCATGCTCAGAAAACCCTTGCCTGGCACACTCTGGACTCTTTCACATCCCAGGAACCATAGGGAACTTAATTCGCTTACCAACCCTCTTTCGGCTGGAAGGATGCAAAGAGCAACATCGATATTTACAAAATGCAATACGGCTTTGCGTTTTCCTTTTCTTGTTTTTCTCCTCGGTGACATGAGGCTGTGTTTCTGACTCGGAGTCTTATTTGCTTGGGTCATCTTAAAGTTTCCTAACCTAGATAAGGATTGAACAGGCCAACGGTTGAATTCCACAGACGTCTTAAGGATATAAGGGCCTGTGGGATATTTGGGGCCCATGAACATATTTGGGACCTTGCAAAAAAACACATTGCTTTAAAATACAAAGAAAAAAATCTCGAAAAGTTAATAAATGTTGGGGGGCGCCTGGGTGGCTCAGTCGGTTAAGCTTCTGACTTCGGCTCAGGTCATGATCTCCCGGCTGGTGGGTTCGAGCCCCACGTCAGGCTCTGTGCTGACGGCTCGGATCCTGGAGCCCACTTTGGATTCTGTGCCTCCCTCTCTCTCTCTCTCTTCCCGGCTCATGCTCTGTCTCTCTCTCACTCTCAAAAATAAACATTAAAAATTTTTTTAAGTTAATAAATGTTAAATGCGCGTGAAGTATCATATTTGTCAAGTTCACTAATTGTTCAATCTAGTGTTCATAAAAATGTCCCATATACACTGGAAAATAATTTGTAGATTAACATAGTGGTTAAGAGCATGGACTGTGAAGCCAAATTGTGTTCAAATCCTGACTCCTCCATTTACTGGGACTTCCAGCAAGTCGTTTAATCTCTCTGAGGTTCAGTTTCCTCATCTTCTGTAATCCTGTGTAAAAAATGGAATCATTATACCACCAACCTGAAAAACGGTTGCCAAGACTTAAACGAGCAAAACACTTAGCTAGGCACACTCCAAGTCCTGGCTGTGTACTAATTGTTGTTATTACCATGATTTTCCCACTTGGAAAGGATTCCGAAATATGGCCTTTTTCTAAAAAATCACAACCAAATTAAAGGAGTTACTCTTACTTAAGTAATTTTAGAAGCAAAATTAGGAGAGCTCCTTCCAAAGGATTTCTTAAAATGTCTTATCAATGAAATTTTCAAGCAAACACAAATGTAAAGAAAAGAGTATATAACGAACCCCAGTACCTTTCACTCAGCTTTAGTAATTATCAGCTCACAACTACTGTTGTTTCTTTTATACCCTCTACCTCTTCCCCTGGCCGTCAACCCAGGATTGTTTTGGGGGGTGGGAGGATAGCCAGATGCCCTGTCATTTCATTTGTAATTATTTCAACATTTCTAAAAGATAAGAACTCCTTTAAAAAAGATAATTACAAAGGGGCGCCTGGGTGGCTCGGTCGGTTAAGCGTCCGACTTCGGCTCAGGTCACGATCTCAGGTTTGTGAGTTCGAGCCCTGCATCGGGCTCTGTGCTGACAGCTCGGAGCCTGGAGTCTGCCTCGGATTCTGTGTCTCCCTCTGTCTCTGCCCCTCCCCTGCTTGCTCTCTGTCTCTCAAAAGTAAATAAATGTAAAAAACAAATTAGAAAAAAATACACATAACCACAAAAACCCAAAGACAACATAAAATATTAATACCATCAAATACCTAGCCAGTGTTAATGTTTTTGTGCTTGTTAGAGAATAGATTTTTTTTTTAATTTTTTTAATGTTTATTTATTTTTGAGACAGAGAGAGACAGAGCATGAACGGGGGAGGGTCAGAGAGAGGGAGACACAGAATCCGAAACAGGCTCCAGGCTCTGATCTGTCAGCACAGAGCCCGATGCGGTGCTCGAACTCACGGACCGCGAGATCATGACCTGAGCCAAAGTCCGCCGCTTAACCGACTGAGCCACCCAGGCGCCCCAAGAATAGATTTTTTTTTAATAGTTTGTTTGAAGCAGTATCCAAATGAAGTCAATTCATTACAAATGAATGTTTCACATACTTTTTTTAAGATTTTACTTTTAAGTAATCTCTACACCCAACGTGGGTTCGACCCACATCCCCAAGATCAAGAGTCGCAAGGTCCACCGACTGAACCAGCCGGGCGCCCCTCAAAAATACTAGTAAAACCTTGGTTTGTGAGCATAATTCATTCTGGAAACGTGCTTGTAATCCAAAGCACTTGTATGTCAAAGCGAATTTCAAGAACCGTTGGCTCAGTTGTGATTATGGGACATTCCGTGTCGCGTACTACACATATTGCAAGACTTCGCTCGTTTATCAAGTTAACATTTATTAGAAATGCTTGCTTGCCTTGTGGAACATTCACAGAACAAGTTACTCACAATCCAAGGTCTTACTGTACTTTCAGTCTATAGATTTTCCCCTTCATTTCTCTTCTTTTTACTTACAATTTTTATTGTTGAATAAACCAGGTTGCTTGTCTTGAGGACTTTACCACAGTGTGGATTCTGCTACTTTGCACCTCACAGTGCCATTTAACGTGTCCTTTCCTCGGTATTTCCTCTGAGGGGTAGTCAGTCTAGTTACTTGATTAGATTCAGATGCAGTTGCTTTTGGAAGCCTCCTCAGAGGTACCTCCATCCATCAGGGCCACACAGTGTCTGTGAGATATTTGCAACCATTGGTGATCTTTGCCTAGAGCCACTTTTAATGATAAAAGTTGTAAAATGCTGATATTCTAATTTCATCATTCCTTTAATAGTTGGGATGCTATAAGAGGAAATACCCCCTCATCGATTGATTATTTCATTCCCCTGAAGTAGAGTTTGTAGAGGAAAGACAAGAGAAATGTTTGATTCTTTTATTTACTGGTTTTCAAAAGCATGAGTTGGTTCTCTGAAACCCTTGAATGGTGCCCCACGAGTGCTGACTGTGATCTTGGTCTTAGTTCTTCACAATGGCTAATGCTGGATCTTGAACACACAGTTACCTTCTTTTTGTTCCTTTTTAAAAATTTAACTTGCAGTATTAGATATCGCTTAAAAATTTTTTTTTAATGTTTATTTATTTTTGAAAGAGACAAAGGCAGAGAGCGAGGAGGGGAGGAGCAGAGAGAGAGGGAGACACAGAATCCCAAGCAGGCTCCAGGTTCTGAGCTGTCAGCACAGGGCCCTGTGTGGGGCTCAAACTCCCCAACTGTGAGATCATGACCTGAGCCGAAGTCGGACACTTAACCGACTGAGCCCCCCAGGCACCCCTCGATATTGCTTTGTTTTATCATTTGATTTTATTTTTTACAACCATATAAAATATTGCATGATTCCTTGAATCTACAAAACAAGGTATACTCGAAGAAGTCTAGATTTTATTTCTGTTCTAATTAGTTTCTTCCCTTCTTATACAGATGACTGTTCTTTTTAATGGTGTGTTCTTCCATTATCCTTTTCTCTTCCAAATAAGTAAACATACATATAAATTTGTATTTGCCTCTTTTTATGTAAACATTGGCATAATATACTCACTGTTCTCCATTTTGATCGAGTAACATTTACAGCGAAACCCTAAAAGTGCATTTAACGTGTGATGTGGCTGGGTGCTATTTTAATTTTGCCATGATAGGTAGGCAGGCCTCCAACAGCTCGGAAAAAGTCAAGCCAGCTGCTTTAATCTTCCCACCCAGACAAAATCCATCTCTAAGCAAGCCGGGCCAGTTTGAGGTCGATAGAGCGATTGAAATCAGCTGGCTGAACGTGGGACGCATCCCGGAACGGCGAGCAAGTGCAGTTCTTGCCAGAAGCAGCTCCTGTGAGGATCAGGGTGCAGAGCTGGGTCTTCAGCATCCGACTCTTGTGATGGGTTTAGGATTTGAGGACCCCTCCATCTCTCAGAAGGTAAGGTGGAGGCTCACCTTAGGCGAACCACATTGGCTGTTTCGCTCTAACAATAAATAGCCGCAGGTGAGAATGAATACTTCCTGGCAGTTTTGTTCTGCTTTGTTTGGGGGGGGGGGGTTGTTGTTGTTGTTGGTTTTGGTTTGTTTGCTTGTCTACAGACTCAAAACAACCCCATATAGAGTGATGAGGGCGCGGACTATCTCTTCCAGAGGTCGGTGTTCCAGGAAGGGAGCAGGGGGCGGGGCCGGGGTGGGAGGGGGCGGGGCCTGGGGGCCTGAACGTGTTGGAGGCGGGGCCCCGCGGGGGGGGGGGGGCGGGAGACCGAGCTGGAGGCCGAGCAGGTCGCTGTGCCTCCTGACCTCTTCCTGCTGGACGCTTCTTCCCGCTAAGCCACCTCACGCCCCACCTCCCCCGGGGCCCCTAGAACCTGGCACACCAGAGGAGGCTAGGTCGACGGAGTGGAGCATCAATGAAGAAAAGAGGAGAGGGTAGGAGGAGGCTCCCGTGGCTGGAATAGTCTGGAATATCCCTGCTCCTCACATAGTCTCAGGTTGCCTCTTTGCGACCAGGCCTTGCTGGGAGATCTTGCTTCTACAAAACATCTGCCTTCTTTTGTTCTTAAGGCTGGTTTATGTGCTCAGACTGCCTTTGGTGTTCATTTAAAAGTATATTTCCCTTGCCTTCAACGTGGCCCCACTTGCAATGGAAAGAGGAAGAACACAGTAATTTGACCTCTAGGGAAGGCTCTGCCAGTGGGTCTCTCCTCCTGTCTTTTGATGCAGAAAAAGGGTACAAGATAAGTGGTCAGGATAAAAGCACAGTGATTAGGGCACATCCCTATACAGAATTCGATGTGGCCATGAAAAACATGAAGGAAGATCTCTATGTACTGATGTGGAAGGATGTACATAGTATATATTGATGACTACAAAATAAATCAAGTTGCAAAATGAGATGTATGTTGGTAAATGTATTGGAAACGTTCAGAGTAAACTGTTCTCAGAAGTTCTTTCTGGGAAGTGGATTCGGAGGGTGATTTGTATCAGTAGCAATGCTTTCTGCCGCAAGTAAAGAAAACCCCAACTCAGTGGCTCACACGATAAGGAAACGTATTATCTTGTAAAACGAGAAGTCCATGGGGAGAGGGACTCTGGGGTTCATTAAGTCAGCAGCTCAGGACATCACTGGGGACCCAGGTTCTTTCCATCTTTCTGCTTTGCCATCGTCAGTGAGTAGGCTTTGTTCTCAGGCAGCGCACCTCTTGGGAGACAGGTGCAGTCAGTAGTTTCAGGAGAAACATTCAAACTTCACATCGGCAGCTGAGGAGGTCAGAGTCTCCTGCCAGAGGAGTCCCAGGTCACCCGGCCACAAGCCTGTCTTGGGATCCCGGCCACGCTCCAGCACAGCTGGACGCAGCTGCTGGGAAACTTGGTTCCAATGCCCAGGCGGTGCAGTGGCCATCATTCGGTTCGGGCTCCTGCGGCTGCTGATCTGAGAGGACATCCTTGGGACAGTCACAAGCTTTCTGTTTTTGAAGAACAAATGGGCAGCTGACGCCCCCTATGTGTTACGTGTGTCACATGTCCTTGTCCCTACCAAGACCACTATAATTGACTTAAAAATAGACCAATCGGGGGGCTCCCGGGTGGCCCAGTTGGTTTAGCATCCAACTTGGGCTCCGGTCTCGATTTCACAGTCCGTGGGTTCGAGTCCGGTGCTGGGCTCTGTGCTGACAGCTTGGAGCCTGGAGCCTGCTGGGGTTCTGTCTGTCTTTGTGTGTCTCTCTCTCTCTCTCTCTCTCTCTCTCTCTGTCTCTCCCCTGCTCATGTTCTGTCTCTCTTTCTCAAAATAAATAAACATTAAAAAAAATTAAAAATAGATAAATCAGAACCACACCTCCAACTCAGCTAGCACCCACCTCCGTGGAATCATTTGGTTCTTGGGGGGAGGATAAGAAACTGGGAAAAAATCCAGGTGCTCTTAGGAAGAAGGAAGTGGGGAATGAAAGTCAGGTAAGTAACCAACAGGGCTTCCTACGGTGAGAGGGGGACCTTTTAGTCTGTATATTTCTCTCGTAGTTTGGGTTTTTATGAGCTTGTGTTACTTGTATAATAATAGTTATTTTACTTAGGGCAGTGAGAGAATGAGCCTTGGCATCAGAAAGAAAAATATTTGATTCTGTCTCTCTGATTTGTAATGTGTAATTTTGGGCAAGTAATTTAACATCTTCAAGTCTTTATTATTAAAAAGTTGAAAGTAGTTTTCAAGCTGGAAAAAAAAAAAGGACAGAAAACATTTAAGAGAAATGGGTTTCTTTTATGTCCTGGGAAACAAATGATTTCCTATCTGTAAAGACTTAGAAACATATGTGTTAGATTACACCACCTCAGGTTTGTTATTTTAATATTTCAAAGAACTAGAATAATGCAGTCCTTCTATAAGCACATTAAAGAAAGTCACAATGATTTATTTTTAACAAGTTGAGTAAAATGTTCTTCTTCTGTTTCCTCTCAACTAGTCTGTTGTCTGGAATTGATAAAATAATATATTTCCCAAGAAGTTATGAGGTTTGGTTATGAGGTTGTGTGGCTATTTTCAAAATGATGAGTTCAGTTCTATTTATTCCTACACTTATATCTAATCTTGGTTCTTAATCATTTAAAATTGAATAGAAGTCCACGATCCCAATAACACTTTGAGTTGCCTGCTAAGAAAACTAGAAAGCTGGCGAGCCATCGTTAAGTAGTAGATTAAGGTTTGGGTATTTTCTAAGAGATATTGGAAGTTGCAGAGAAGAATTGGGTCTTAGAGTCTAAGACGTGATGTCAAGAATTTAGGTCTACCCCCAAATTGTTGTGAGACCTTAGGACAGTCGTTTCACTTTGCTGCTTTTAAGTTTCCTTGTTTATAAAACAAAAATAATTAAGCTGTTTGAAGATTACACCCTATCAGTTATCTATTGCTGCATAAAAAGAACTACCCTAAAATGCAGTGGCTGAAAACAGCAATCCCTTAATTTACTCAGTGTTGGTCCTTCGGACTGCACTCAGCTAGTTAGATATTCTGAGCTAGGGAGCTTTTTTGCTGGTTTCATCTGGGGTCACTCGTGTGGTGATAGTTTCTAGGCTGGCTGAGAGTCGATGGATCTAGGACGCCATGCCGGAATCCTCATCTCTGCTTCTTCATTTCCAGTAAAACAGCTCAGGCGTCTTCCCTTGTCGTTCTCCCGCAGCGAGAGAGGGCAAGCCCAATGCTGGAGCACCACGCCATGTCTCCTAATGTCCCATTGGTCAAAGCAAGTCACATGGCCACAACATCAGTGTGGGAGGGGTCTACACAAGAGGTTGGGAAGAGGAAAGCCTCACCCAGTGGGAGCCACTGTTGTTACCACAGGCACATCGGGTAACTCAATCACCCTATATGAAGAATTATATTGTAAATTTCAAAATAACAAGTGAGGGGCTCCTGGCTGGCTCAGTTGGTAGAGTATGCGAGTCTTGATATCAGGGTCATGAGTTCAAGTCCCAGGTTGGGTGTGGTGCCTACTTAAAAATAAAAATAAAAATAAAATACAACAAAGTGAGTTATAGTCATAAACCCTTGAAGGCAAAACAAGTGTTGTTACTCAGAGTGTATTTGAAACCACAAGATACTTGGGGAGAGAGATATGTGAACTCAAAATGAGGTTTATCCATGTATCAATATTTTTGTTATTTCAGAAATGTCCACCCCAGATGAAGGAGATGTGAACGGTCCCACCCAGAACCCAACTTCATCTTGACACCTATTCTGGGAGGTCTCCTGCTCCCTATCTCTTCATTTCTTCTCATTGGACCCTGAATCGATTGCCTCCATACACAGTTGGTAGATTTTAATTCTCCACTCATTTGTTTGTTGTCCTTCTCCCCCTGGAGGGTATATAGAAAGCGCCATGATGGGGCGCCTGGGTGGTGCAGTCGGTTAAGCGTCCGACTTCAGCCAGGTCATGATCTCGCGGTCCGTGAGTTCGAGCCCCGCGTCGGGCTCTGGGCTGATGGCTCAGAGCCTGGAGTTTCTGATTCTGTGTCTCCCTCTCTCTCTGCCCCTCCCCCGTTCATGCTCTGTCTCTCTCTGTCCCAAAAATAAATAAACTTTGAAAAAAAAAAAAAAAAAAAGAAAGCGCCATGATGACGGGACCCATGTGTGTTTCATTCCCCAGCTTATACCCAGCATGCAGCACTGCAGCTGGCACAGAACAGGAGCCTGATAAATATTTGCAGAGAAGTGAATGAAATGAAAAGCTACACTTACACAACAAGTACCTCCTGATGTTGTTTCCTGGTGACAGGCAGCTTCTGTTCTGAGAATACAATGGACTTTGTCTCTTATGGATGATTTATTCTGTCAATAATTTGCCAGGGGAGGGCAGTAGCTCCTTGCTTCCAACTCTTGGTCTCCACATTCCTCTTCTGTAAATCAATCCTTCCCCGAACTGTAGCGGAACCAAATCCCATGGATTCTACCTGAGCTCTGCCTCTGGACCCCCACCCTTCCTTCTGCCGCGGCCTTTCGGGGTCTTTGTCACTTCTTGCCCGGATTCCCACCCTAGATTCCTAATTGGGTTCCTTGGCAACAGTCTTGCCCAATCCTGCCTCACCTCCCCCTCAGCTGCCGAGACGCCATCATCAAAATATTTGAAAAACGAATTCTAGGGTTAAAGACCTCCCCTGCTCTCTCGAACCTAGAGATAAGATCAAGTGCAAACATTTCGGCATGAGGTTCAATAAGCCTTCCAATCTGCCCTGGGGTCCTTCTCCTAGCTCCTCTCCCATAGGCCCCCCCTTTCCCACCACGCAGCCTCTGCCCAGTCACAGTATTGAATGAATGTGACTCCCCAGCTGCAAAGCCGTGACGTGATGCGGGCCATCTTCTTTGCCTGGCCTGCCTTGTCTCCCCTGCGGCAGCCAACAGCGTCCCTCCTGACTCGTTCTTGGGAAGCCTGCTCAGTCTCTGTTGTTCCTATCTCTATTAAAATCTTCATTTTAATGTGTCTTAAGTCTGCAGTCGCAGCTGCTGCTCCTGTTGTTTTTCAGCGAGGAAGGCGCGTTGTTGGAAGACACGAAGGAAGGGAGGAGGAAAGGAAAAAATTGGAAGGGAAAGAAATTGTCCCATAGCTAGCACCCCATCCCCGACTTACTTCCTCCTGCCCGCTATTCCACTAAGTTACTCTGAAAGGCCTTTTGTGAGAATGATCTGTTGCGTTTTCCTGCCTGACGTCTCTTCCCTCCCCTTCCCTATGGGAAAAGCTGCCCTGTCTGGTTTGAGTGGCTTGGGTCATAGCCACGTCCTTGGACCTCATGCATGGGAGAATTGGGCTCATGACCCAAATGATACCATTCAAAATCTTCCTTAAGACTTTTTTTTTGCCAAAGAAACATCCCCTCCTTCCTCTGAGGATGCTAAGCTGGTATGTACTTCCATTGATCATTATGATCTCCAGTAGAGAAAGCCTGTTTAAGAGATCAGGAATCCTGGGGAGCCTGGGTGGCTCAGTTGGTTAAGCATCCGACTTCGGCTTAGATCATGATCTCGCGGTTTGTGGGTTCGAGGCCCGTGTCGGGCTCTTTGCTGACAGCTCAGAGCCCGGAGCCTGTTCTGGATTCTGTCTCCCTTTCTCTCCGCCCCTCCCCTGCTCACGCTCTGTCTCTGTCTCTCTCAAAAATAAACATTAAAAAAAAATTTAAGAGATCAGGAGTCCTGATGACATCATTTGAGCTCCTGTATCAAGCTGTGCCTGAAGCTGACATTCCTTTCCTTAAACCAATAAATTGTCTCTTATTTAATCCAGCTGGTTTGGAGTTTCTGCCAGTTGCATCTGAAGGAGTCCCCAACTACTATACCTTTAAAACAAAAAAATGCTTCACTATTATCTCAGGTTTACTCAGAGGAGGTGTGGATGAGACGTGAAAAGGAAGGCCCTGGCCTCATGGCATGGGGTAGGAAACATGACTGAGGCAGAATCTTTGGGTGAGGAAACCATGTATCTCTCTAGCCCTTCTTTTTTTTTTTTTTTTTTTTTTAGATTTTTTTTTTTTTGGGCAAAGAGAGACAGAGCAAGAACGGGGGGGGGGGGGAGAGAGAGGGAGACACAGAATCGGAAACAG